ATCTTGAAGGAGAGCTGGAGGGCCCTTTCTAGGCACCTCAATTGTAGACTCATACCACAAATCACTGCACAGAGGTTACTAGCTCTTCTGTAGCTGTTAGGTAGCCATCTAAGAATGGGAATGTTACTTGGCTAGTAGAACTGTAAATGTGGAGAGGCTTTTTGGCATGAAATATACTTGCTTCCACACTAGTTTCTTACCTCTGTTTTCTTTGCATGTTTATACTAAGTGTATTAATAGTGTACAGTCTCTAGCTCATAGATGCATGAAAATTTTATTGGCTGCAAAAGTCGTCAGCTGCAGCGGTTCACAGCAATCTCTGCTGCACTTGGACGTTGCTGCTATTAGTAATGAAGGTGCTGGTGGCTCCTCCTTCAGTATTTTCCCTTGAGAAATGAATGGTGACCTTACAGTAGATCAAAGCAGAGCCTATGACTGTCCGTGCAATTGTGTAAAAGTGGTAGTTAACCCTGAAATAACTAGCTGGAGTTACTGCTTCTCTCAGGACACTGAAGTGCCTCTGTCCAGTTTAAACTAGACTTTTTTTCTTGTCTCTCTCTCCTTGGCTTCTGAGGATGAATCTTGAAGAATAAGAAATCATTAAACAAAATATATGTGTATTTTGTATTTTTTTTTTCTTTCTCTCTTCCTTGCCTCCTTTCTAGACCTGTTAGATTAACTCTTTATCCTACTTTGAGGCTCCCAACCGTGGCACACCATAGTTTGTTGCTGGGGGTATCCGTGAACTCGTTCAAGTGATAACAGAACCTGCTTGGCAAAACCCAAATATCTCTACGCTAATTTTAATATAGACCACCTCAGAGCTGTAGGCATTGGGCTTAATAAAGGTTAACTCTTGTCTGAACCTTTGCTGCTACTAAGGTCTTCAGGATGGAAAAGGTCCTGTTTCCATAACTCAGTGTGCAGTGGTAAATTGTGTAATACTGGTTATACCTTAACATTTATTTAAGCTATTTAAAATTTGGGGTTATAAATATCATCAGTTTTCTTAGTGTTCTGTCAAGGCAGTAGCCAAAGGGTATTATCTCTTGACGGAGATTACAGCTCTTATGAAGAGATGGTGAGAAGCTCGAATTTAGCTTCTGAGAGTCAAGGCCACGTAAACTTCCCTCAGAAGCACGCTGAGTGCTTTCTTTTGCTCCATTTTGATGGAAATAGAGTTGTATCAAGGCTACCATAACCTCCTTGAAAAGACAACATCAAAGTAGATACTATGGCAACAGTGCAGCTTTATTATCAGCCCCAGAGTGGGAGACACGGGCAGCGCAGCGCTGTTGATTAGCGTTACATTGGCAGGTGAGGAAGCAAGTCAAACTTGTCTCATGCTGTCCTGGACAAGGCAGTTGGCAAGTTTTTGGCAGTTGTGAGCTGGAATAGGCTGCAGTGACCTCTGGTCTCAATCTCTTGATGTGTCAGATTGCTCTCTGAAGGAACCCAAATAGTGCTCAGGCTCCATTTATATCTGGAAACAAACTTGTAGGAGCAAGCTTGGCTATTTGAGAAGCTTTTCCCACTTGGTGGATAAATTAATCTAATCTAAATAGTAGATTAGTTCCTCATTTTAAGTCATTTAATAGCTCTGTTTAATTACTTAACCCTAATTTTAATGCTCTCTACATTGCAGTCATTTTAGTGTATGAGTTATCTTAAGCTGCAGATGAATGAATTCTAAAGGTGCTGACTTGTACCTATAAACTACTGGCACTCTGAATGTGGAAGTCTTCCCTTGTATGCATGAAAGTTTCAAACTTCTGGCTGGGCACAGCTCTTGGGTTAGTCACAGTGACAGCTGTGTGGCCTAGGCCTGTGACTTGCTTCTGAGGTGGATCAGAGCCTCCTGAGCTTGCCTGGGGCTCTTAGTTTGGGTAAACTGCAGCTGAGGAAACTTGTATCTGGGAATTCAGGCTTTGCCCTAAATATTGATTACTAGGCAATTGCTGCTTTGCCTTACTGGTTTCTTAAACACTAGCCAGATCACTTGAGAATGTGCCGACTTGCTTGGCATCTGTGGTAGAGGAATGCAGCAGTGGCTAAAATGTCTGAATTTGTCATCTCTTGCTGTTCAACTGCACAATTTGGCAGCAGTTCTGACAAACGCTTACTCTAGTGTATTGGCTTGGTCAAAGCTCCGCAGCAGAGTAAATCTGATGGGCTTTCTCTGAGGACTAGCAAAGATCGTGTGTGTGTCTATGCACATCCATAAATGGGTTGCTGCAGAAACAGTGCTAGGCAGTATCTGCTGCATCTAGAATCTTTGTAGGCTCAGGATTTTGGACTCTGGTGGCATTTGTGCAGGGCTGGTTTATCCATCCTCCTGGAATATTGGTTCAGCTGCTGTTCTGAACAGGGACTTTGCTTGTCTGATGTCATGGATAATGTGCCGCAGTTCTGTTAGATTAAGGGCTTGCATTCAAACTAGTGGAGAGTCATGATCATTATTTCAGTCTAAAGTTGCTGAAAAGGGGTGTTAGTATAAATGAGACTAATTCTTACACTGTAGGAGAAGCAGGTGCTGCACTAATTATGCTGAACTTGTCAGAGGAGCAAGCCGTGACCACACTGGATCTGAGCTTCGTGACAGCCTTGGCAGATCAATATGCCTTCAGAGCCTGGCAAGGCAGGACAGGGATGCTGAATGGGCATGAGGAGAGAGCATGTTCTGCTCAAACAGGGTGAACTTCCAGTGAAAAGGGCATGTGCAGTAACTTCAAGCGTGACTATATCCCAGGTGAAAAATGAGCATCAATATGGTTTGCACCTTAAATCAGAACTTTCAAAGAGATAGTAAAATACTTTTTTCAAACAGCTGTAGATTTGAAGAACACTCTTAGCAGCACTAGCTTCTAAAGTGAAATTGCTGCAGTTCGTGAGCTTTAAAAAAAATGTGCATTAGAAGCTGAATCCAAACACGTGAATTCATATCCAGACCACAGGAGAGGTGACAAACTTTGCTTTAGCAACTGTTTGTCAAGTTCCCTGACTTCTAAATCACTAGATTTAGTGGTATCCTTCCAGCATAAACTTCTGTTTGAACATCTCCAGTGTTTATGATCAAAACTGAAGCAATTCAATTTGAAAGGAAGCAAATACCGCCCTCTTCCAGCTTGGCATGTCAAAAGTTCAAAAGGGAATGTGGAAGGTAAAATGAGCTCCACTGGCACTTCTACCCCCACATTGTACCTTCAAACCCTACGTTGTTTAGAGATTAACTTTATAGACTTCATGCCCAGAATCATGAAGAGAGTTGCTGAAGACCTGGGAACTCTTGTGTGTGTGTTTCAGCTGCTTTTATTCACTTCTAATCCCTCTTGTAAGTAACTTGAGAGGAGAATGGAATATTCTCTGCAGGTGAGAGCCTTCATGTTAAATATAGCAAGTCCTTTATTTAACTATCTGAGGCACTGACAAAGACTTGATGTTGTAATGCGGAAAGCTGAACTTGGTATAAGTCTGGGCCTGAAATTAGAGAAAAATAATCTGATACTTCACTTCTGGGAATCTCCTTCATGTACTCTGGAGGACCCAGCTTTTTTCTCTCAAGTAGAGTATTCTTATCCTCAAGCCCAGAGTGTTTGTTTATAAAGCTTGACTTCTGACATAATAGTCTTAAGTGCAATTTTGTTATTAGTCACTATACAATGAACAATGCCTTATCCGGGAAGGAGATCTGGAGTTCTCAAACATTTAGTGATACCAGGTTTCATAACAAAATACTGTCTTGTACTTTATTATCTGTCACGTATGGACTAAATAGTATAATGTGAGTGCAGAACTAACTCAAATGTTTCGAAGCGTGAGACAGTCGAAAGCTCCTTCTGGGCTGGCAATAATATAATGTCCTGTAGTCATAAGCCTGCCTGGTGCAGGGATGCATCTTAGCAGTTAAAACTGCTTTGAGTAGCCAAGGCTGCTGCACAGGTAATAACTTAAGTAGTGCAGCCTATATATGATGGCTTACAGGGATATACACTTGAACAAGGACGCTGCTGCACAGGTAATAACTTAAGTAGAGCAACCTATATGTGGTGGCTTACAGGGATATCCACTTGAACAAGGACAAAAAACAAAACAGAAAAAAAAAGTGGAATAAATCATTATTAAAAATAAAAAAGCTAGCTGAGCACACTTAGCCTAGATTCCTATTGGAGGAGGCAGGAATGAGGGTAGTCCTCTATGAACATCGGCTTCCTACAAGGCACATAAGACAAAGCTGGCGAATACAGTCTGACACAACAGTAAGTTCCACTGTACAGCTGCCAATTATATATGGCAATCATGGGCTTGCTTTCAGGAGCAGATCCCAACTCATACAGCAAGGTTAGGTTATTACAGTAATCTGAAGCTTGAAATGTTGCTGACGTCGTGGCACTCTTTATGCTGGGAAGGCAAGGGGAGGCTCTCTGTGTCTGCTTTTGCAGTGGTGTTGGGTAACAGCATAATCTCCCACTTCAGGAACCTCCAGAAGTAACATAGGCTCCTATAAAAGTTAGCATGAGGTCACCTGTTGCAGTGCTTGTGTCCTGGGCTACATTTTAGCCTGACTAGTTTGCTGTGTGTTTCAAGGCTGTTAGAGTTGGGTACTGATGCTTAGGGCTTCAAGGGAATGTATTTCAAAACGTGTTTAGGAAGGTTCTGCCTCAAACTCTGCTTGACTTAACTTTGTAGTAAAGCTGTCTGATTTCATCTGTACTGACTGCTATCTTAAATCTCAGCCCTAGCAGCTTTTCTGGAGTTATACAAACCTGGCAGCTGGTACCAGTGGATTTCCAGCTTCACCTGTACCGAATGCACCCATACCAATTCTGTGGAGGCTGCAGCCTTTGCTGATGTTTCTTTTTTAAAATGTTGAAGGCCTGCTTGTGTCAGCTAGCAGAAGAATATGGAAAAGTGTCCCATGATAGCACCTGGAAATGCAGCAAGTATGTTGTGTGAAGAGGGAAGGCTTATTTTCTTCCCCCTGCTGTTGTGTGTATATCAGCATGGGGAATCTCTCTTCTGAAAGTAAGATCAGATACCTGTACAATCTCGGCAACACTTCCTTGAGTGGGCAGCTAATCTGTTCTGCTAGATGATGTGCACTGATATGTGCCCACCATATCAGTGACCAGAACTTGTGATCCAGATAAGGGCTCCACAGGCCATTTAAGGCATGACTTTCTTGTATAGCTTATGCAGAGTTTTATCTGCCCTTTTCTATCTTGAACGCTGCTTAATACTATTGTGTTGTTGCTCAAGTGGAGCAACTCTGACTTAGTAGCTTGCTTTTTGCTTCTACATAGCAAAATCTAATGAATAGCTTGTGTTTCTTTTCAGACAAATCTTCCCATCTTCAAGCTGAAAGAATCCACAGTCAGAAGAAGATATAGTGACTTTGAATGGCTGAGGAATGAACTAGAAAGAGAAAGCAAGGTGCGTAACACAAGTAAATATAAGTATGCAGATATGAGAAGAGTATCAGAGTTTTCTCTATGTTAAAGCATATCTGTCAATCTTGAACAGAAGCTGTGGTCAAAAACCTGTATAACTGAAACCTTGTGTGTGCTAGTCTTCCAACAAACCTGGATATACAGTGCTGGAGGCTGTTGCTCAACTTAGTAAATTCTGAATTTAGTTGCTTGAATTCAGCTTATTCCTATAGACAGATTGTTCTTTTCTGGTGTGTGTGGTTTTTGGTGTGTGGTTTTTTTTTTTTTTTTTCTTTTTCGTTGGTTGTTTTTTGGGGTGTGTGTGGGGGGGGGGTTGTTTGGTTTTTATGGTTTTGTTTTGTTTTTTCTTTGACTAGGGGCGTTAATGATAAGATGGGATGCTAGGAGGGAGAGGTTGCACTGTAAACTTGCTTGCAGTTTGTACTTAAGGCCATATTTCTGAATTTTTCAGGTTGTGGTACCACCGCTACCAGGAAAAGCTCTTCTCCGTCAGCTCCCATTTCGAGGAGATGATGGTATATTTGATGATTCTTTTATAGAGGAGCGGAAGCAGGCTCTTGAACAGTTCATAAACAAGTAAGTGTTGGGTCTGTCTGGACATGGACAGATCAACTCTGAGAAATGGATTTGGAGCTGCTAGTCAGCTAACTGTGGCTGCATTAGGTTCAGAATAATGAAAAGCTTTCAGTCTTGCAGCAGAACATACTGATGTTGCTCAGTGTTTGGTGTGGAAATCTTAATGCTTACCTGAACAGTTGAAATGAGGGATGCTAGTGTTACAATTAATTTATGCAAATTACCACTAAAATTATAGCACTCAAAATAGTTCTACTTTTTCATTTCTGAAAAGGTATCCTCCACTGGATGAACAATGAAGCTGACAATGGATTTAGAGCAGTTTACTTTGATTACAGATGGGAGGTATTTTCAGCTTGTGTAATGATGTGTATTTTTTCTAATCATCATGGGAAGCTGCCTGAAAGTATAGACATATACCTGTACTTGAGGTATACATATATACAGCTTGAAATAGAAACTTCCAGCTGTTTTGTTGCCTTACAAAGGATGAAAAAAATTACAGTAACAGGCTGAGTGACTGCTGTTCTACCACCTCTCACACTGTCCGTTCTCCATATAGTAACCCAGAGAGCTGCCTTGGTCTCTTTAATGTTGTGAATCCAAATACTGTCTGGGAAGGAGCTGTCAGTTATGCAGGTCTTCTGGTCTCTGAAGCCAACATGGTGTTCAAACCAACTTGATTCTGGACCCCTTCCATCTTAAAAGGTGGAACTGACAAAGCTCGATGTGGTTTTCAGTCTTGCTTAGTGGTAATGCTCTTTAGCAGAATCATTGGATGCCCTTATTTAAGACAGAACTTCATCTGATAACATGATGCTGGTCCGTTATTGTTCAAAGATGCAATTTGGGGATGAAGTGACCAGCTCAGTAGGAACTAAAACTGATGTCCTGTTCTGGCAAGAGAAAGTAAGTAAGATAGGAGACCAATATAGGTGTGGATGTAGTGATGAACTCAAGTAGAGCTGGAGCAGAGCTCTTCAGGCAAAGCTGCTAGCCATTCAGCCTCATCAACAAGTGAAATGGACCAACTCCATCAAGCAAATATGGTTCAAAGCTTTAATTGGTAATGTGGAAGATTTAGAGTTTCTGCCAAACATTCTGGATATTAGTGAACTTAATCCTGGAGAGAATTTGCCTGCTATGAGATTCATATTGCAGCACTCTCAAGGGTGGTGTGCAGTCTTAGAACTGGAGAAGCAGCCCTCCAATAACAGATGTACCAGTGTAGCAAAGGAAGGGCTGGTGCTGCTACTCGTCCTGCATATCCAGGAGCTCAAAAGGGATGTTGTAAGGCTCTGTCTCTAGGTATAGAGTCTAGAGGGATTAAATCCTAGCAGAGCAGCTTACCTGAGTGAGCTCTCTTGGGCTAGCTTGCTGGTGGCATCACCACCACTGTTAATATGGCTGTTTAAGGAAAGCTCCACTGTGAAAGTCTTGTCTGCCTGAATCTGACTTCTGGAGACAGAGATGTTGGAAGTAGCAGCTGCTATTTATAATGATCATCATAGCTCCAAATTCTTCCAGTGTAGAGTAAAGACACTCACTCACAGGAAACAAAGATCTAGGTTGGACCCAGTCTAGCAAATCAGGCACTGATTTTTTTTTTTTTTAAGCCCCTTCTAAAAGGGGAAGGGAATTGGCTGTTGCCTCCTGAAGTTAAAGGCCAAAAAGCTTAGGCTAATGAGGATAAGGAAAACTAGCTACTCTAGACTATCTTTGAACTAGTACTCAAGACTCCTGTCCATTTACTAGAACCTGGCAAGGTATTCTGTCAATCCTGAGTAGCAGAAGGCCAATTCTGATTAAAGGACATGCCCAGTTATGAGCAAGTGGTGACAGTCAATCTGTTGTTGGCTTTTACTTCCTCCCAAGATAGGTTTGTGTGGAAGAGAGGCACAAAAGTGCTTGGAAGTGCTGATGCTGAGGCACTGGAGTTGACTGTTATATGTGCTTCATTGTAGGTTTCTTTATCCATAAGTGACCAGCTTCCAGGGATTTAGTGTTTTGGGATGTAACTTCACTTTCAAATTTGGAGGCTGTCAGAAATCTGCTAGGTGTTTAAGGGACTGAATGTAACACCTGGTCTCTCAAAATATTGGGGGCATCCTTTAGTTTCAGCTCACTTTCCGGAGTAAAGGCAGTGCCTCTGTAGTCTACATGCAGAGCACAAACCAGTCCGTATTAGCAGCGTTAGCCTCAGTCTCTAGAGCAGACGAGCTGCCTCTGCAAAGCTGCTCCTTTGCAGTGGCCTGCAGGAGCCCTTCGCACCCCCTGGTGGAGTGAGTCCCAAACTCGACCTGGGCTGGTGGCTGGTGAAAGAGATGAGACTGGTGGGGTGAGCTCCTTTTTAGGAAGGTGTCCTGCGTCAGAGGCATCGAGAACTAGAGATCTGAACTTGTCTGGATTTAACTCAGCTCTAGGTATCCTAGTACTGTAATGGGCACCCTGGTAGTCTGCTCAGTTGCAAGTGGCAGATGCCCTCTAATGTTATGCCCTCTAAAGAAGCCTGTAATGAGAGTTCCTCTGTACCAATATCATCCTGGAGAGAAGAGCAGCGAGCCCTGCTGCCAGACATCATTGCAGTCACCAGCAGTAGACCAAGTGGGATATATACCAAAATCCAGATCCGTAGTCAGATCTTTATAACAATAACCTATCTGCAAGTAGACTTGCTGTGTTAACACTGATGTGTTTTTCTTTTCCAGGGTTGCTGGCCACCCCCTGGCACAGAACGAGCGCTGTCTTCACATGTTCTTACAAGATGAAGTAATAGACAAAAACTACACACCATCCAAAATAAGACATACTTGAGTTCTGAAACCATCTTCTCGAATGTTAGTGGTTCTCATGCTTGGTTTTAAGAGGTTGTAGTTTGTCTTAGCATGCTGAGGATAAATGGGCACAAAGCCTCCACTAACATCAGTACACTGCTTGGTCTTTGCGTATGCTTTATAGCATTAAAGAACTCACTTGTCTTTTAGCTGAATCCTTCTGAATTCTTGATTTAAGAGTATTAAACTGAGACCATCCACCCCTTACAATGTCTCACAAGCCTTTCCACCCTTATTTGCAATGACTTAACAATGTTTACTGACTTGGCCTTACTTGAACTTGCACAGTTGTAGTGTCACGTGTGCACTTGTATATGACTAAACTGCTTTGCTATTTCTGAGGTAGTCATCTGTCTGAACTTCTGTAGAAAAACTGCTTTAATTCAGATACCCTGTATGAGAAACACTTATGCAATTGTCTTCATGCTTGTAAAACACTTTATACTGAAGCAATGAGGGAATTATCTTTATATTCTGTAAGAGGGAAAAAAATCAGATTTATATGCTAAAATAACTTGTCTAAAGTTTTGAAATAAAAGTGAAAATGCACTTCAAATGTTGTCACTCTTGACCTTCAGTGTGATGTATCCCCTGCTTTCTGAGCAGCAGGGATTTAGCTACACTGAGTGAGATGCTACTGCAACCTTGCTGGGATGCTCTTCTGCAATGTAGGCTTGTGCTATTACCAGCCAGCACTAAATATGAAGATGCTGATTCTCTCTGCTCAGATCCTATGGAACATGTAGGATTTGCAGATCATTCCTGTGTTGCAATGCTAAAGCTGGAGACCAAGTCATGTTAGGCAGTTACTGGATTGTGGCTTCAATAAGAGCTTCAAGATAAGGTACCTTTCTACTTAGTGTGAGAGGCATCATTCTGGCTTTAACAGTGCTACAGAGGAAGGAGTATTATCTTTGTAGGTATTGTTCATGTTACTCTTCAGTCCTGCAGCTGAAGATCAAGGTAGCTGTGCTCTAGAAATGCAAGATAGGGACATGGAGTCATACAGGACAGGTAGAAGATCAGCATAAAGTTTACAACCTGCATTTCAACCTTAATCTCATGTGCACAAGTGAGCATTGCTGAAGTTGTCTTCCTCTCTGCATCCTCCCAGGGCTGGAGATGCTTCTTTGGTGTTCTCTAAGGTGGCATGGGTGATACCTGTCTAGGTCCTCTTGGAAATCCATTCAAGAACTCTTGTGGGCACCTGATTTGGGCATTCTGTTCCCTTCATAACAGTGCATGTTCTAAACCACCTTTTTTAGTGCATGTTGGCGTAGGCTTGTTTCTGTCGCTTTTTGTTCTTGGCATACTTCCTATTGCTTTATAAAGTCTTACGAACTTACTAGCCAAATTCTTAGGGTCTTTAGATGAGACCATTAACCTCATGCTCAACTTCCCAGGCCCTTTGTACAAAAATCTGGATGTAAAAGGCTGAGCTGACAAAACACTGGTACTTGACTGGATTGTATATGGTAGCAGTGAATGTTGTCTTCAAGCCTACTGGCTAAAATAAAACAAGAAGTCTGTGGGCTCTTTGCTTCTAACCAAAGGCAATATTTTTATTCTTGAATTTTTGGAATGGGAAATTAATATACTGGGCTGGTGGTGTGGTGGTGAGTTGCTAAGGTGCTGTGTCAGTTTGGTCCTTGGTTTCATGAATGAAGATTCAACAAAGTTTTTGTTCTGCTGAGTATGATGAGGAAGCAGTTATTTTAGCACCCAACTCTTTGGGTCTACATTTCAAGAAGTTTTTCACTACTGCAAAATAATCAATTCTAAAATTCTGTTGGAATTACATATAGAAATTGAATTATTTATGGAAATGGGGGAAGAAGCTATAGATATGTATAACGTTTCTTTGCTTAGTTTCAGGTGGATAGCAGGGGCTTATTTTTCCTTTTAAGCTATTCCTTTCAGTGAGAAAGCACAGTAAGTTTTGCATATTATGCAAAGGATGACACAATCCCTCCCTATGACCTGCTCTGGAAAAAGGAAGACTGAAGGGAGAGAGCTGCATAGCTGGTGCCTTCTTAGCAGATCCTTTTCCCATTTCCAGTGTATAGTGAGGACTCTGGAGTGTTACCCTCTGGAGTTGGCAGGATCAGGCTCTTCAGGGGACATCTGAACTGGTTTCTAAGATTTCACTTGGGTGTCAGTGCTTTAAGGCTGACTAGAGAGCCTAATTATAGCAGAGTGTGGCTTGCTCTGCACTCTGCTATTCTGGAGGAAAGGGTAGGGCCTGACAGGAGCTAAACTGCAGGGAAGTGTGGCCCCCAGATCCTGCGTGTAGGAGGATGAGACATGGCTGTGCACCCTGTCTGCTTTCCAGCTGGCAGGAGTCTAGCATGTCCTGCTGCATGCCCTAGTCTCACTGGTCTAGGGAGCAGGACTGCCCTGCAGACTGCAGATGCAACCAGTGTTTTGTCATGGGTTCTGCAGAGCACTGGATTCAACCTTTTTAGTTCATAAACTGAGTAGTCAGAAACACTGGGGACCTACAGTTGATTTCTCTGTCCTTTCATACAGAGAACAAAATCACTAGTCAAAGATTATTACAGGAGTGGAAAAAAAGGCTTAATAAAATGTTTGTTGGTTTGAAGGCATCATTTAAAGATAGGATTCACCCTGCCCTATGGTGAGCATGCTCATGCATGCTCTGTGCTAGTTTGTATAGAGGGTGTTTCACAGTCCTCCAGTCCATGCTTTGTCTCACCTGATTCACCCAAAGACTGGTCTCATTTAATGCCACGGTCTGGCTGCCTTGGAAAGGATGGAACAGGAGGCAGCAGCCTGAATGACTGGAGGAGAGATGAAGTGAAGACTTAGACCTCTGAAACCTAGGAGAGCTTTGTGCTCAGAGTCGCCGGCGCAAGGATTTCACCTATGTTCAATATTCCCTGATCCTGCCAAGGAGCCATCGTCACACACTGTATGTGTCCACTTGTCATTGTAATGTGTGTGCTCTTTGTCCGTCTGGCAAGGAGTGACCAATGTGTAATGTTTTCCCTCTCCTATTGCTGACTTCTTTTGGTGCCCTGGTAGCTGCTTACCCCTTTCTTTGGTTTGATTATGCATTTGAACAACTTAATAAAACCTCAGAATCCTTTTGATTGGGAACTGGCTCTGCATTCATCACCCTTTGTATGCTGCACAATTCATGGATATTTACAACTATCCTAACAAAAAAACAGCAGCTTATGCTAGGTTAGATCTCTGATCCATTTAGCATTGTGACCTACAAAAAGCTCTGTGTATGCTCCTTCAGAAGATGTTAGGAATTTGCAGTAGATGCATATTTGAATTACCAAGAACAGCTCTGGGACCCTTTGCTCCAAGGCAGGATCACCTGTATAGAAACTATTCCATGAATGTTTGTCTAACCTGTCCTTGGAAACCTCTGATGATGTCAACTCCACAGCATTCAAACCCATCCCCTCTTATAGAGACTGTCTTTGTTCTCTGGTAAGCGGAGTACGCTGGAAGAAACTAATCCAGAAATAGAAGTGTTAAAAGAGCAGTTGGGAATAATTTAAATTCAATATATTTTTATTCTTTGTAAATACAATGAGTACAACTTTTTAACTTCACAAATCAGTTAATCCACTTTGTACAGGAAAAGTTTTACTCATTCTATGATAGTCCAAGTGCTGATTTTTCTCAGTGCTAGTTTCTAATAACAAATCAAAATTTGAAAAGTACAGCAGCTATCTTTAAATGTTTTTTTTTCTACATTTTTTCATACATCAAGTAAGCAGCTTATAACGTTTTTGTGTGTGAGAGGATGTAGGTGAACAAGGCTTCAAAATTAGAACCTGGAGTTTGCTAAAAAGGCATTGGAGACGTTTGGAAATTGTTAGCGTTGTATCAGTCAGCCACCTTTGTTTCTTCGAAATAAAATTCCTTCCTTTTTATTTATATAGAGTCATTTCACTTTTTTTTTTTTTACTTTTTTTTTTTTTTTGCACATCTCATTGACAAAGAGTTTGGCCACCGTTGCCTTTGGTTTCAGCACTATGTCAACGGGACAGCGAGCAGGTCACTGAAGCGGTCATCTCCATTTTATTTGGTTTTGCTGTTTTAGTCTTGCTTTCTTGACGTGTACTCTTTTCGGGGAGGTGGATGAGTGTGTGGGAGGATGAAGATGGAGGGAAGATGGGGAGAGGAGGTGTATAAAGCTCTTCTGTCTCTGAGATGTTAACCAAACAAATTATGGTGATGTCTGCACCAAAAATCACCAGCTCATTTTACAGGAAGAATGGCACTGCCGTCATAAGCTACTTTTTCAATCAGTTCTGAAGGCCACTTCATGATGTATTACAGCAGAAGCAATGTTTTGGTAACCTGGTCTTAAATGCCGCCTATCATACTGAAAACACTTTACCAACACAGGCTACTTTTAAAAATAGTTCTGAAGGCCACCACCTCTTGTTACCTCAGGAGCCAAGTTTGGTCCCCCAGATGCAAATACTGAACAAACTAGAGCACCTTCTTTCACGTTTTGTCTCGTATCTGCCAGTTAGATGAGAGAATAGCAGAGTCTTTGTTAACTGTGACTGGCATCTGAATTGCCTCCATCCTGTAGTAACAGGAAAAGCAGCCAAATTCCAACCACTTTTTTTTTTTCTGTAGAACAAAGCATTCTCTCCATGATCTAAATCACTCTGTTCAGAGCAGCAGAATCATATCTACTGGGGTATTTTTTTGTCAATGAGTTTAAAGGCTAAACATTCCCAGGCTTATGCTTCCTGTAGATTTGTTAGTTGAGGCTTATTTTCCATAGATAAAAGTTCTTCTCAAACTGTCCATCCTGATTGCGTTTCTTTTTAAGGTAATTTATATGTCACTGGATTTGTACATATCTGAAAGCAGTCTTGTAATCGGTACATTCCCAATGGTCTTTTTGAAAAATACTTCTTCTATTGTAGATGGACTAATGGAACGTAAAGCTGGTAAAAGCAATAGAAGTTTTCCAAAACGGCAGGGCTGTGTGGGGTACCTGGGAGACAAAGACGACGTGTTACTGAAGTCTTCAGACATTTTGCTTTTCAAAACACAATCCTTGTACCTTATAGAATAAGACATGCAGCAAAATGGATGCTACCTGTCTTAAAACCCCGCTTCTTGAACCTGCATGAGCAAGAAGGTTGGCCCTGAGGCAAACAGCCTGCTCAGGGTTAGACTACAGAGCAGTGTCTTTGAGTTTGAACTAGCTTCCCTGTTGATTCCCGCGGAGCAGGGACAATGCAGATGTGCTCGGGCCTGTCCCTCGGGAAGCAGCCATGTGCTTGAGGTAGTTCAGGGAAGAGCTTGACCCCAAATGAATACCCCTTATTTGAATGCAATTCAAACCCAACTAGCTTGTCATGGTAATCATTTTACCCTGTTTTTGTTGCTTTATGCCTTTAGAAGCAGTTGACATTTGATGAGAATATTTTTTGAATAAAAAGTTGTATATAAGATAACTTATTTATTAGATAACATATTTGTGTAAGAGAGTATTTGTGTGTACATCGACTTTACATCTGTGTCATCCTCGAACCACTGAGTTACAGTGGTCCTTGTAAAAGAAGGGGTAGTTCCACTGGAGAAACCTTCTGCTTCCCTAGTCTGCCCTCCTTTACATCCTGTAAGGGTTTCTTGAGAGAGTACTAATAAAATGTAAGTAAATGTAAATAGAAAAATACTAATAAAAAGGTAACACTGGCAGGAAGGTAAACTCAAGTATGAAAATGAAACAAGGGCTGAAAGCTCTATCTTGCTGGAGTTAACAGTGGTTACCAGGGGAGCTGGGTTCTCCAGCTTGCCAGAAAAACTGCGGGAGATTCAATGCCCTAAGATGGGTAGATACTGTTGTTGTTAAACTTTGTTTATACATATGTAGTTCTATCCATAGATCATTCTTGGTTTTACCGTTGTACACTTTGTGGGATGAGAGCTATAATTTTTATGGCAGGTGTTAAGACTTCTGCATCTCATAGGACTCATCTGGAATGAGTGATTTTTTTCCTTCTTAAATAGTAATTCTCATCACTGTGCTGCAGAGCCAAAAGGGGAGCCACAAGTCCTGGATTTGCCATTTCAACCTGTGTACTGAGTCCTGAAGGAGCAATTTAACCTCCTTGTTACCTTTCTGTTGCTTCGCCTGCAAAAGTGAGCAAATGACCCAAAGAAGTTGTGGAGTTTTTGTGTGAAAAACAATGTTGCTGTTGTGACAGATGATTTTGACTGTCACGTCACTATTAACACTGCTTGATCCAGTCAGATAGAGGGGAAGACCTAGTCTTCTGTACTGCAAAATGTTCCACAGCAGGTATGCTTTCTAGGGCAAGGCTTTCCTTCTTCCAGTTTTGCATTTGTCTGAATAAATCCCACGTTTCTCACTCCATTAGGAGGTACCTAATCCCACCAGACAATCACTTTACAGTGGCTGCAAAAGCCTGTCCCCATTTCAGTCAATAGAGACGTGCCCTTCCCTACAGCGAGAATGAGGTTTTGCCCCTGTGCCTGCAAGAAGTGTGTGGAGAAGACACGGATCACCTGGTATGAATGTAGCTGTTGAGAGTGAGCTGGGCTTCATCCTGCAGGGCTGCTATCGCCGCCGCGTTCCGGAAACTCCTCAGCTCGGAGCCACTGTGTGTAGGCACTGCAAGGCAGAGCGGGGACCAGGTCAGCCTGGCTCCTGCGTGCCTTAAAACGGTCCAGTTACAGCTAATCCATGGAAATGCAACGTTCCCTTTATTTTCCCCCAACGCTCTTATCGCTCGCCTTTCAAAGCGCGATGCCAACTGTCGGAATTCAATATCAGGAAACTTGCTGGATGATATAATCCTGTGTCTGATTTGAAATATCTTTTTTTTTCCTTTTTTAATTTGCTTTAATGTAGCCAGCTGATATTTATCAGAGCAGAAACGCAAGAGATTATTGCTACTTACCAGCTTTGAAAGTGACAATGCATTTGAGACAGGCAAATTCAGTAGCATCGAGCCGAAGTTGTCTAAATCTAGCCACGACCTCCTGTAAAGCCTGTATTTCTGAAATAATTTTATTCAGCTTCTGAGAGTCTGTATTGTCACCGTTCATGCCTAAAACAGAAACGGATGAAATAAATACTCTTGCATTAAAGGCATTTTCTTTATTTTATATTGATTTCTGACAAAATCCTGTGTATCAATATCCATTCTATTGTCACACTTGTCTATCTGGTTCCATGTAAACTGACTATATTGTATGAAAGTTAATATAAAATCTTCTCTTGGATGATAACAAACACAGTAATTTGCATTTAAATGACAATGCAAGCAGTCATGAATACAACAAAACAACATTATTTGCATTTAAATATAGATTTATAAATGACAGGTATGCTCTATTGTTCAGAAGGAATTTGTTATTCTTTACATGTTGTTCTTTTTTCAGTAATGTATTTTTATGGTAATTTCTGTAACAAAGTCATTAAATTGTGCAATTCTTACCAGATACAGCCAGTAGAGTGTTAGCATCAACTGGAATGGCCCATTGTGCTATTCCTAGAACAAACAGTTCTCTCCAAGCATCTTCCAAAAGCATCAGCTGTCATACAATAGATGTACAATATAACATAGTGTATAATTTATAGATTTATAAACAATTTAAATATGTAAATTTCTGTTATTTTAAAAACTGCTTTACATGCCTGTCATGGTATTTTCCCCTCAGATTTTGCTAGCTTTTCTCTTAGGTTTTTCAGGTGTCTGGAAATAAGTGTATGCATTGCAGAAAACCACTTAGTGTTGACTCTGTGGGCACCAGGCTGTGTCAACCAGAAGGGAGGAGAAGAAGAAAGGAGAGTGAGAAGTCCTGTCCCAGAGAGCTTGTACACTCTCTGAACATTTCCCTATGGATTTCAGCAGCACTCCCTGCAGCGTGGGCTCCTTCTCCTCTCCCTGGGCTCGTACCGCTGTCCTGGAACAGTTTGGAAGTGTTCTCCTGTTCTCCCGAGGGATTACTCTCCTTTCATGTGGGGAATGCAGGATTCCTGTACCTTGGGGAGGCAGGATTTGGGAATGCCTGGATGACATCACTCAAGCACTGCTATAGATCATATACTTATGTTTAACTCCTTCCTCATTAAGCCTGCAGCTCTCTGGAGCATAGCACCTGGACACGCATACAGATTTGCAGTCTCACTTGTGTTCCTGCTTTTCACTAAAAGTCTGAAAAAACACAGCCCTGAAATTCTGGGGACTAAAAGCTGTTTCCGATGAGAACCCGGGTTAGGGAAGCCCTTGCTTGAGGGGCAAAGGAAGAGGGACTTGTGTACAGACAAACGCCCCTTTCCTCCCTGCGTGGCAGCACCAACCGCAGCGGCAGCAGCAGAGCCCGGCCGTGCCGGGGCAGCGGGCGCTGAGCGCGGTGCCCGAGCACCCCGATGGGCAGCGGGTTTGTCCTCGGCAGGCACAGTGCCTTCAGGGCCTTCAGGCACTGCGTGGCTTTCTCTACTTGGAGGCAATGCCATTGACTTCCTTGGAGAGGCACTGGTGCGTTTGAAGAAGGAATGTGACTCGGGATAAGGCAGACTGGCAAAGCCAGAAAAGACGTTTAGTCTTGAGGGAGCCTACGGATTGCTGGCTCCCACCAGCTTCTGGAAAGGGATTTGGAGGGCTCTGAATTCAGCTAAAGTTCCTTAGTTCCCTAAAGGCCATGCTGTGGTACGTCCATATCACTGCATCTGGCACATCTCTCAATACAGTGGGAGACATTGGGAGAGGTAAAAATTGTGGTGGATTTGGGAAGGGATGTCCGGTGGCTCCACATGGTGAAAACAGGTTGCCCAAAACTCAGGGAGCAGAGGCAGCAAATCACAAGTATTAATATTGCTGTGGCAGCTTATAAGCTTGGGAAAACAGGAAGGGGTATTTTAAATCTACAAAGAATCTGCAAAAGTAGGAACAAGCTAAAAAAAAGTCATGCCAAATAAATTATGATTTCTGTGGACTCTGATGTCTGGCAGTTATAGACAATACAGAAAGCATCCATTAAGGATCAATCCATTATTTATATGCTAACTCTTAATAGTGGAAGTTTTAAACCACCTATCAGAGAAGAGAAAGAGTTCCCAGAGTCTGTAGAGCTTGTCATTACAGACTTATCCCCATTTTCACACCATGATTACCTTTCTGTGCCACACTTTTCGCAGAATTTCTGCACAGCTGGACCAAAACTAAAAAATTGTGATGGAAAAGTATTTGTCTGTGTTAATATAAAATTAGTATTTGGAATATTTACACTGGATTTTATTGCTAAGGTTTTTACAGGAAGTGTGTGTGTGTGTAGGGCAGCTCTGTTTTGAGAGCAGCAGAACCTGCTTGTAAATCTTCTACCTGCTGCAGCGTGTGAAGCAACCCCTCCCCAGATAATCCTGCCTGGTGGAGAACAGGGATTAGGTATGCAAGTCTCTGTATGGCGTAAGAAATGATTTTCAGACTTTCCTTTGCTTTTGTAAAACTTTTTTTTGTCATTCATTCATGCAGATACAATGCTAATGAGTGGTGGTTTCTGCAAGATATCGGTTTCATATGTTCTTTCCCACTAAGTGTTTCGAGTCGGAAGACTTTAGAAATGAAATGAGATGCTTCCAATAGCTGGTTTTCTTCATTCCTATGCATAAGTCTGTAAAACCACCAATTAAAATAATTTGTGCTAAAGTCATCCTCAGCCCTTCCTCTTCAAAGAAGCAAGAAATCCCAGGCTTCCTGAAGGGCTGGTTTCTGCTCCCCAACCGGCCCCGGGCTGCTAGCGGGACCTTTTCTCAGAACCATGCACCAGGGCAGCCTATGTAGGGCCCTGGGTTTTAATTTGTTCCCTCATCTCTAAGATGAAACCGATACAGAGGCCTGGAGCAACGAGGCTTTTGCCTTTTTTTTTTTTTTTTCCTTTTTTCCTGGTAGAGCACGAAGCAAAAGCAAATTTCAGGGAAAGGTTTTAGACGCTATTCAAGCAGATGTCAGGGATATAAAAAGAGAAATTCAGACATTTACAGCTGGCCCATTGTCAAATTAAATAATGCAATAGCACTATTATAAAAATCAACTGTCTGATTATTCATGAAATAAGGTGATTAAAATCAGAGTTATTTCCTCTTCAGCTCTCCTGAATATGATAGAGGATTCATGCAGAAAGAGGCCCAGGTCAAAGCTTTAGAGCTGAGCAGCTCAGAATTTTGAGGAATCTGGCTTAGGATTCCAGCGAGTAAAGATACGGGTAAGGAAAAGCCAGGGCTTTGGTATGTATTTCACTAGTATTATGCCCTGATATGAATGTAAAACAGGTGCTAGGCTATTCAAAGATCATGGCAACACTTTAGTATGTATGGTAGATAGGCAGGCCTTGCTGCCAGGTAATGTGCAAGGGAGAGTTGTCCTCCTCCCAAATCCCGCTGCATCTTCCTCCTGCTGCTAGCAGGGCTGACTTGTTGGGAAGTGCATATATAATGTGCAAGGAAGCTTTAGCCTAAGCAGCCTCCTGTGGGTACCACTGATTTCCTCAGCAGCTCTTTTCTCCCGTTTGGATACATATTTCCATATGAACAAGCAGCACTTAGGACATGCATCCACGCAGTATAACTAGGTCCTCTGATAACTGCTATGTAGCATTGAAGGCACAACATTTCTAGTTGTTGTTTTGTGAAATTAGCTCAATCATATCAAAGTATTAGGTACCTTTTATGATTGGAGATTTGTATAGATTTCCCCCCTTCCATTTTATAATTATCTGATTACTTTTTTTAAAAAAAATAGTGCATTATACAAAGTACACCAAGTCCTCATCAAGAATCAAGTCATTAAGAAATTGCTTCAGCTCATATGGTTCACATACAGTTTACCTGAAGCAAAAGCAAATTCTTATAGACAAAAACAAGACAAATTAGGGAAGATTCTAATTAATGATGAAAAAAAAAAAGAGAGAGAGAGAGAGGGGGGAACTAGCCAAATTCTGCTTCCACCAGACTGGAGAATGTAACTTCACTGAAGCCTATGGGAGGAGAGGAGAGGAGAGGAGAGGAGAGGAGAGGAGGGGAGAGGAGGGGAGAGGGGGGGTGGGGGGGGGGGGGG